GGGGTGGGGGGGGGGGGGGGGAAGAAAGGTCTGGCAGCACAGCCTGAGCCAGAACATGGTGGTTTTCCTCTCTTCCGTGCGGCACCAGCTCCGCTGCTCGGCGCCTGCTTCAAGTCGTCTTGTCTTTGACATCCCAATTAGTTGCTGGGAAAATAATTATTTTGTCACCGACACAATGTAAATTCAGCTGCGGGACAAGCAGCAGGGGCCATGGAAGTTATGAGTGTAATGAAGTTGAGGGGTTTTTAATGTAAATGTCCTCTGTAATTAAAAATGTCACAGGGAGAACAGTAAAACACAAAATGTCTGGTGTGGAGGAGAACCCCACTAGTGAATTATTTCCAGCATTTCCAGTGTGGAAGCACAAGTTCCTCAGCACGCCTCTTGGTCCTATTTATTTTATTTTTCTGGAAGGTGCTTTTTTTCTAGCTGGCTTTATTTAAAAGGAGAAAAGCCTGTTTGATTGCTGCGTGCTCGTGTCTCTCTTGCCATGCCATTACCTCTCGGGCTTGCAGGCCAGTTTTGGTGAGATTTAACACCACAGTAGAGGTCTCAAGGGTACAAAATCCCTGCAAGTATCATGAAAATATACAGGTGTGCGGAGGATGGAGAACTTCTTGCTGCTGCTGCTATGGGGAAGCCTGTCATGGGAGCTCAGCCTCGTTATTAGACACCAGTGAATCTACATGGGGACGCACCGCGGGAGTTAATTCCCGTCGCTCTGCTTTTAACTTTTGCTGTTTCTCTGTGGCAGGTGGTGGCCGTTGACCCAGACCTGGGGGAGAACGGCACGGTGGTGTACAGCATCCGACCCCCCAACAAGTTCTACAGCCTCAACAGCACCACGGGCAAGATCCGCACCACCGGCGTCCTGCTGGACCGCGAGAACCCCAACGTGCAGGAGGCCCAGCTCATGCGGAGGATTGTGGTGTCAGTCACCGACTGTAAGCCCTGCTTGCGTCCCGCTCCTTTTTCCGCGCTGGTTTGTCTTGCTCCACCATAACTAGAAACCGCGGGGGCTCAGGTTGCCCTCCTCAGCCTCCGCTTTTCCTCCCTGATGGTTTTCACACGTTGAGTTGGAGTTTTCTCAGCCTGATTTTTGCTTTGTGATGAAGTTTCTCTTATTTTTTCCCGGTTTGAGTGTAAGTTGCAAGAATGTTTTGGAGGTTAAAAAATGAGAGTAGGTTAAAACCTGCTGCTAAAAGAAACCAGGAACCTTGAACATGCGAGCGCAGTCATTTCTGTAGCTGCCTTGACCATGAGCCTGGGAGGCAGAAACTTCCCCTCTTCTCAGTCTGGCTCCATCAGTATTTAGGAAAGTCAGTTGAGCAGGTGGGGGGAAAAGAGCTGATCAAGTGGTGGAATGTATTTTTCTCTGGGAATAGTATCTTGGGGAAACTATTTAGGAAAAAAGAGATACAAAAATAATTTTCTATTATCCAGCCTGTTTCCAAGAGCCAGGAGGCACTTATAACCTTACCTCTGCCCCTTTCTATTTTTGCATCACCTCTGCACTGTGCTAAAGCCATCGTCCCATCTGTCCCGTCAGAAAGAGAGAGAACAAGCACGGGCTGGTGTTGCTCTTGTTTTTCAGCTGCATGCACAGGTAGCCGTCGGTCTGCCTTGCACGCTTGCTGCCGGGGAGAGTTTTCCTCTAGCAGGGAACTGTGCTGTTAGTCCGACGGGCTGCAGTGCCAGGGGCAACACGGACTGGTCAGTGCCTCAAGGGGGTAGCCCCATCCTGCACTACTGTCTGCATAGGGCGTGAGGGCTCCTTTTTAGGGGAAAGGGGTAGAAACCCTTAATATCTCGAGGTATTAACCCTGAGACCCCCTTCCTGGCCTCCACAGGCGGGAGGCCGCCCCTGCGAGCTACCAGCAGCGCCACGGTTTTTGTCAACCTGCTGGACCTGAACGACAACGACCCCACTTTCCAAAACCTGCCCTTCGCCGCCGAGATCGCTGAGGGCCTTCCCGCAGGCTCCTCTGTCTTCCAGGTGAGCGTGTCCCACACTGGGAGCTGCTGCTGGTGTCGCTGCCATCGCTTCTGCAAAGCAGGCTAGCAGTACAGCCTCGCCATCCTCTCCATCCTCTCCATGCTCTAGCAATGCAACGGGGGGGGATGCAGGAGGGGCTGTGGCATCCAACCCCATGTGCTTGCTCCTGGCAGGGAGGATGCCTCGAGGTCCCTTTGCATCAGCCCAGCAGCCCTGGGGGCAAGGAAACGCCCAGGGTTTATGTACTGTGATTTTCCATCGTCAGGAGATGATCAGGCTCCCCCGTGCTGACCCCTTCCCTCCATTCTCTCCATCAGGTAGTGGCCATTGACCTGGATGAGGGTCCGAACGGGCAGGTGATGTACCGCATGCAGGTGGGGATGCCCCGCATGGATTTCCTCATCAACAGCACCAGCGGGCTCGTCACCTCCACCACCGTGCTGGACAGGGAGAGGATCGCCGAGTACTACCTGCGGGTGGTGGCCAGTGATGCCGGCGTGCCCTCCAAGAGCTCCACTAGCACCCTGACTGTCAAAGGTGGGTACACCGAGACCCCTTCCAAGTCCTTCCCAGCCATAGAGATGAGTGACATCCCTCTGGTCCCCAAAAGATGGGTGACAAGGACAGGTCACCAGGGGGAAGATGAAGCTTATATAGGAGACACACAGAGACCCTTATTATGCGGTCTGTCTTTAATTTGATGTGTTTCTATTCACATGAGCCTAGTGCTGAGGATAAGCATCATCTAGAAATAAACTGACACTGCATTCTCCTCAGGCCTGGGTTTGGAAAAAGAAGTTTCTGTGCCTGTAACTCCAGAGCCCTCTGCCATTCACCAGGAAATGCTGAGCTTATATTTAAGCCAGAGATATTCCTCTGAATGGGGATGGAAACGGGTAATGCAAACAGTAAATTTAATTGCAGTTATGTAGGGTTTCTTGTGACGTGTGTGGGGTGATCTGTACATATCAGAGGCAACCAAATACAGCCTGCAGCCATGGGGTCCGGTCCTTGTAGCCAGTCTGCAGGCACCCATGGCACACGGACACAGGGAGCCGCAGGCAGAGCATTGCCTGGGATGTTCAGAGCAGCAGGCAGGTGGTTTTGGGAGCCTGGCAGACATCAGCCTGGCATCTGCAGGAGGGGCAGCCCTGGAAGGGCACTCAGCTCTGCTCCCCTTTCAGTTCTGGATGTGAACGACGAGAACCCCACCTTCTTCCCAGCCATCTACAACGTGTCGCTGCCCGAAAATGTGGCCCGGGATTTCAAAGTGGTCCGGCTCAACTGCACGGATGCTGACGTTGGGCTGAACGCTGAGCTCAGCTATTTCATCACAGGTATGAACCCCTTGCAAGACGCTGCACAGGGGAGCTTTGGTTGCGGGAAGGAGCAGGCTGCCCCAGACCTTGGCGAGGGTGTTCCGCACGTCAGTGCTGCCTTTTCAAGCCCCTCCAAACCTTGTGTGGTATCGCCCTCTGCTGAAGAGCCCCGCTCGGCTCCCCGCCTTGCTGACTCCTCTTGCCCAGCCTGGGGTCCACCCTTGCCCCACCCCGAGTATCCCCTGCCTCTCACACTGCTGGGACACAGCCAGGAAAAGCATGAGGATGGCCTTAACACCGCTGGGGCGGCATTTGTGTAACGTGCATGTAAGGCTGGAAGCCTCTTTGGGCTTTTAGAGCATCTCTTAGCCCCGCGTGCAGGTGGTTTTGGGTGGGCAGGGAGCAGGTGGGTAGCGATGCCGCCCGGGCAGCGCCTGGATTGCACTGCGGCTGCAGCACCTGCGGCAGGAGGCTGGGGAAACCCCTGGCCACACTTTGACTTGCAAACTGCACATGTGGCATTTAGCCCTCAGGAAGAGGGCAAAAACAGAAGTGTCACCGCAGTCGTTTTGTCACAATAGCAGCCCTGCGTTTCATCTCACGGCATGAGAAAAGGTGTGTGTTGCCTCACAGGTCCCGCAGGCCACACCAAAGTGACCCCAGTTTGCTTCCGAAGCATTCAGGAAATGCTCTGGCATTTATACGACTCAGCTTTTCCTATAACCATCGCTGTGAGGCAGGCACGGCACTTGGTGTGTTGGAGGGAAGGCGCTCTGCCCACTTTGGCTGCAGAGAAGCTTTGCCTAGGACGAGATACGAGCTTGCCCTACGCTCACCTTGCTCAGAACCATGTAAAATGCAGCCCATCAGGAGGGCAGGCTGAGCGCTTGCCATTGCCACGGCCGGGCTGACCCCATGCCCCGGCATGGGCTCTGCTCCCTGCATCCGGACAAGGGGTAACACGGTCCTTGTCCTTTGTTGCAGGTGGGAACCAGGATGGCAAATTCAGTGTCGGCTTCAGGGATGGGGTGGTCAGGACAGTCGTGAGTCTGGACAGGGAGACTGTGGCATCGTACATGCTGATCCTGGAGGCCATCGGTAAGGATTTTCCACCATTCCCATGGGACTGCTGCTACGCAGCCACACGGAGTGGCCGTGCACATGCCGAGCCGCCTCACAACTGTGTTTGGTATTAGCATTTTACAACCCACATGCATTAATATGTCCCAGTTTCACCGTCACTTTTGCAGACAGTAAATTCACCCCTCGGGCTCACCCAGCCCTGGGGCTTTCCCTTTCCCCCAGGGAAGGCAAGACCCCCTGTTCCCGAGAGGCTCCATGGTCTCCAGGGCAGACCTCCACCCAAAAATGCCAGCTCCACAGCATCGTTCCCCTAATGCCATGCCAGCCCTTGGCTCAGTGGCTGCCGATTAATCCAGAGCCACCTGGCACGGGCAGAGGGCCCGCATGCCAAATGCGTCTTGGCCGTCATCCCCAGAGCTTTATAATGATGTGCCTGTTTACAGAAGACTTGGATGTCCCTTTTGAAAGGAGAAATAAGTGGCCTGGTCAGAAATCTCGTGGGCACGGCATTGCAGGTGCCACGGGGTCTGCAGCAGGGATGCTGCACTGGCTGGACATGCAGAACCAGACCCCAAGTGGTAAAGGGTCCGTTCTGCCCCTCTGATGGGTACTGGGCTGCCTGTGTTTCCCCAGTCAACAGATCCCAGCCGGGTGGGTTTAGTGCTCACTTGCATCAGGCATGTTGGAAAAAACAAAACCCAACCTATGCTCCCCATTGCTTCAGCCTTTGTGGCAAAACCAAGAGCCGCACTGCCATGTCCTTTATCTACTGAACATCAACTGGTCCTGGTGCTCTTTGGCTGTGAGCTGGGTCTACAGAAGACTCGATCAGACCCCTGCCTGTCTTCATCTCCCAAATCCCTGACCTCCAGCAGTCCCTTCCAGCATACATCACCCTCTTAGTTTATGGAGCTGCAAACCCTCTTTGATGACCGGCTGCGTTTCCAGCCTCATTGGGCAGTGGCTCCATGGCAGGGCTTCGGGGCGGTTTGCCACTTCCTTTTTTCTTTCAGGATAGGCAGAAAAAACCCTCATGGTTCCATGTGGGATTTGGAAGCTGCAGAAAAGACAGAGGCTTTTAGTTTAGAAATTTTGGTCCTGGTGTTTTCTGCAGCTGAAGGTTGAGCACCACCTGTGCAAGAAGATGGAGGTGACCGAACCTCCCCTCGCCATTCTCTCCCGTTACAGACAACGGCCCCACCGGGAACCGGCGCACCGGCACTGCCACTGTGTACGTGACCGTCCTGGATGTCAATGACAACCGACCCATCTTCCTTCAGAGCAGCTACGAAGTCAGCGTCCCCGAGGACATCCCGGCTGCCAGCAGCATAGTGCAGGCATGTGGATCTCTTCCACCGGGGACCCTGGGTGGGCGAAGGGGTCCCCCACTCTCTGGGCCCTGGCACCGTGGCTGTGAGCTGCAGGAAAAGCCCAGGACAGAGACTTTCTCTCCCCATCGTCAGTCTGTTCCCCCAGGCCAGGACAAGAAGTCTTCTTGCTTGCATGCTCCCCCGCTCCTTTGCTAGTGTGGGCTGTGAGCACCAGGGAGAAGACGGCAAAGCACAAGGGAGAAATAAGAAATTCACCCCGTTTCTGCAGAGGGTGAGAGGAGAACACCCAAGCCCTGTGTTGGTGGGGCCCCGTTGCCTGACTGCATCCCCGCTTTCTCCCTCCGCCCAGCAGAGAAGGGGCCGAGAGCAGAGATCTCAAGGGGGAGAGAAAAGAGTGCATGCAAAGAGATGCTCTGAGAATTGGGGAAAAACAGAGGGAGCAAAGCATTTGGACTTTGCTTTCATTTTTGTTCGTCTTTGAGGGAGCGGTGGGCAGAGCTGAATGGCTTAGTGAGCGCCGAATGAATGCGGGCATTCACTCAGCCTCCGAGGGCTTCCAGCATCCCCTCAAACCCGGGGCTCTTCTGGAGCAGGCACCAAAGGCTCTTTGCAGAGGGCCCTGGGAAGGCTCCTCCTGCCATGAATACCTCTCCCGGCAATGGGAAAGGGGCAGCTTTGTCCCTGGCTCTCGCGGGCAGGGTGAGTCACCGGGAGAGAAGAAACGAGCCTTTTGCCTCTTGCAACAAAGCTTTGCCGGGAGTCGTGCGTTGTGCCCGGGGCAGCCGGTTCCCCAAGTGTGAGCCCGTTGGCTCCTCGTCACCTGTCGTGCCGTGGCATGACATTACGTGATGCCCGCAGCACCGTGCCTGTCGCGGGGGTCGAGCGTCTGCCTGCTGTCCCTGCACCTGGGGTGGAGGCGGAGAGAAGCCCTGCCGTGGGATTCCTAAAACGGAGCCATTTTTGTAAATTGAAAGACTGGGAATGGAGGAAACCCGAGTCTGACATCAAAGTCCCTTTTCTTAGAGCACGCTTCCCAAAAGAGGGGGATGCCCTTGGCAGTCTGTGGCAAAGGAGAGGCGGTGTTTGAGGGAAGTTTGTCTTTCACAGGACAAAATTAGAGAGAACGGGAAATGGGCGAAGCTTTCGTACTGAAGGTCTCCCCCTTCAAACACATCCGCACATCCCTATGGTGACAAGGGAGTTTTTGCAGGTATCCCCATCCCTTTCTTGCAGACACCACCCTCATCAACCCCCATCCAGCCCTCCGCACCCTCCGCTCCAGCCCTAATCAGCAGATTGACCCGGCTTTAAACAGCCAGGGGCTCGGAGCCATTTTGCTGCTCATTTTAATCCAGTTTATTTAGCAGATTTAGAGCCACGCAGGCAGCTGAAGGGGTGCAAGTGTGAAAGCCAGGCAGCCCAGGGCTGGAGGAGAGATTCTGATGCAGAGCTGCGCCCCGTGACGGTGAGAAACCATGCGAAACCCAGAGAGACGGGGGTTCGATGCCCATCACGGGGCCTCGCCGGGTGCGGAGGCTTCACCCAAAGGGGTGAACTCAATGGCTGAACTTAGCATGAGCTGCAGACCTGGAAGGATTAAACCACTTCTTCTTTCTCCTACTGATTCTTTCAAGTACTTCAGATTACCTGCTGGCTGCTGTACCCTCTCCCAGCAGAAAAGAGCAGCTCAGCTTTATGCCCTGCCTTTCCAAGCTGGCAGCGCCTGCGAGCCTCAAAAGGCCTCTTTAGTGCATTTACAGGCATGTTTACCTGCTCCTGCTGCTCGTTTATTGAAGCAGGTTTCCAGCAGACAGCTGTAGCGTGCGTCCTTCCAACAGCCCGTTGCACAGGGAGAGGGGGGACCAGGCAGCACCCGGGGGGCATGAGCCTTCCTCCACCTGCTCGGGAGCACATCTCGGGGGGCAGTCTCGGCTGAGGACTGCTCTTCGTGGCGCGTGTTTGCTCCGGGATACTTCTCTTCAAGGCAGCCAGGTTGCTCTGCTCTCACTTGCACAATGTTTTCCGAAAGAAATTAGGCAGCAATATTTTTTTGGACTGCTCAGTGATAGTGTGGGGGTAGTTCGGATGCCTCTGCCTTTCCTGCCAGGAAACAGTAACCTGAAAGTGTTTGGGAACCTGAAATAGCAAAATCTCCTGGCGCCTTGCAGAGCCACTGCCTGGAGATGAGCCGCTTCAGAGGGGCTCTGCCGGGTTGCCCAGGATTCCAGGGGCTGCTTGAGGAAGGAACTGAGCCTAAACCAAAAGCTTGGGACAGAATAGCGATGCGGGATGAGCTAGTTCCCACAGAGCAGGATCACATTTTGGTGGATTCCATGATGTCCCAGCCCTGGCTGGCAGGAGGGCTTCTGAGGCAGGTGTGCTGGCTCTGGGACACCGGCCGACTCCTCCTGAAGGGGTTGGTGGAGCATCGCAGGGAGCCCAGCCGCTTCCAGAGCCTCAGCTGGGGCTCGCTGGCGTCCGCCGGGTGATGGGGCATGCATTCGTGGGGCCCGGAGCGGGACTGCTCCAGTGCCGCCGGCTTGCCGGCTTGCAGAGCATCACGAAGATGAGGAAGGTCGCCAGGAGGAGGAAGATGCAGATGAGCGTGACGATGATGGGCAGTGGGTCTGCCTTCTCGGGAGATGCGGTAATGGGTGGGACCAGCTCAGTGGTTGAAACCAGAAGCCCAAGGAGAGGTGGGGTGGGAGAGGACCCGTTGCCAGCGTCCTCTGTGCTCATCTTCCCTGCAGTGCACAAGATGAGACAGAGAAACAACATGGGTGATTACCAGCTAGAAGTTGGACAGACTCTGTCCAATCTGATGGATTTTTGGCTTGCTTTGATGTCCAAGGTCCTCCCGGACATGTTTTCTGTGATGTGAGGTGACAGGAGCCTGCCTGCTTTGCCAGGAGACAAAGCACAGAGGTGGGATTTATACCTGCAAAATACTGCCCTGAACTGCAGTGCAAAACCATCTGGCAAAGAAACCTGGCACAGGTGGTACCACGTACACGCAGCACCACGGCCCGGTGATGGCAGCTGGAGGGAACATGCACACGTTGCATGAAGCTTTTCTCGAGCAATATATTCCTGCACACTAGAGAAGGTCCAAAATCCTCCCGCCAAGGTGCTGGGGTCTGGTTCTTCTCTGTTCCCCAGAAATGTGTTTTTGCTGAATTGACTATCATTTGGGGTTTTTTGGTTATTCCCTCTCCCCCAGAGGAAACGGATAATTGGTTGAACCCCCGCCTAGGCAACTCCCCATCGAGCTGCAGTATCGCACTAGCATTGCCTTTTTTATTTTGCAGGGGCAAAGTCCTCACCCTGCTTGTGCCAAAAACCCTCTTGGGTTAGGCGTTTTGCTGACCTGGTTTCAGGTTCAGACACGCCACGGGTTTCTCAGCCAGATCTGCAAACAGCGATGCGAACCAGCTTCCCAGAGCCTCACCAGTGAAAGTTCTTACTGAACACCTGATGGTGACTGTCCTCTCCTTTCCCCACCAGGTCAGATCCCCTCTCTGAGCTGGCCAGCAGCCCCCCAGCTCAGAGACAAGGGCAGGGGAAATACTGCTGTGCCAACCCTCTGCAACCTTGGCACGGCCCTCGGTGCTCTAACCTGTGTGCTGGAGGTAAAGCTTCATTACGCTGACTTTTCCACAGAGATACGGGAGTAGAAGAGTGATGGAGAGCTGTTAGACTGGTCTGCAGCTGGGCAGTCTCCTAGCAAGTACAGGTTTGGATTGAGCCAATTTAAAATTAAGAGTTTAGGAGGGAAAAAGCAGGGCTGCAGGGACTGCCAGGGTCTCTGGGTCTGCTCTTGCAGCCACCGTTCCGAGGCCACACAGGTTTGTGTAGGCAGCAGCCGGACGTTCACCGGTAAAGCATTCAAAAAAGGGGAGAGAAGATATCGGTGACATGTCTTTAATCACCAGTTGGAAACTATGAGACGCCCCGGCAGAGACGGGCCCAGTAGAAAGCGAGATGCTGCGTCAGGAGAGACAAGCATCGCTCACCGTGCAAATTACGCAGGAGGAAACAACCTTAAGCAAACGCCGTGAGAGCCGCAAGGCTGAGCGTGCAGAAGTTAAGGAGTCCCTGAACTCGGGTTGTCTGTGCCCCACCCTTGGTGTGGGTGCACGCTTATGTAGGCAAGCCCCCAGCTCTGGTTTGCCGGGACCCTGCCTGGTCCCGGAGGGGACAGACGGCTCCTGCAGGATCCGTGCTCCTCCCTTTGCAGGCAATGAGCTGCGATACGGAGGGAATAAGGTCAGAGGTTTCCACTAGAGTTGGGTGCTGGGTTCGAGGCACTTGGGAGATGTGATTTATTTCTGGAATACTTTGCATTGCCTGGACTTGAGCATTCAAAAAACGTGTAGACATGGCACTTCAGGACATGGTTTAGTGGTGGTGTTGGGTTGGTGGTTGGACTTTATGATCTTAAAGGTCTTTTCCAACCTTAATGATTCTGTGATTATGCGATTCTGTGATTCAAAGCTGCGGTGCTGGTGGCCTCGGGGCAAGGACTGTATCGGCCAGCTCAGAGCTGGGAGGCTGGCCGCTTCCACGGGTCAGAGACAGGTCTGCGCTCAGAAAATGGGAAATGGAACAATACGATGGGTCAGCGTCTGAGAAAACCTTCGCTCAGATGAATCCCCATGAGCACTGCAAGCAAGCTCAGGGGCCGGGGCTCTCGTCCCCTCCTCCAAAAGTGATGTTTTCACCTCTCTTCACCCCAAAAGCATTTCTTTATCATGCAGCCTCTCCTTGCCTGTCCCAGCCCCTTCCCCTCCAGCTTTGGGAGCGGAGCAGCCCCCGGCAGCCACAGCCATCCCAAGAACCCCCCTGCTCCATGCGCTGCCCGGGGACAGGGCATGAAAACCAGCAGGCAGGGCTGCTGCTTACCACGCACGCCAAAGGCAGCCTGCATCAAGGTTACCACGGCTACCTTAATTCTGGCATTTACTAACCGCACGTGGTTTGGCTTGGTGACCTTATATCGTTTGTTAAGAGCGAGCCGGGAGGCGTGGGTAGTTGCTTCGAGTTGTTTTTTTGCTCTGTCAGTGGTGGCTGTGGAGTTTTTCTTTCAGAGCTGACTGACTGTGTCCTCTAGAAACCCGTCGGGAGGGATCACGCTGATGTTTTCCCAGGCTTTTCCAGCCATGCCCTCTTCTCCTCTTGCTTCCCATCCATCCTCTCCTCACACCCAGCTCGACTGGCAGAGATGTGGGTTCAGGGAAGGTCCGGGCTGTCCCATACCTGATCTCTAAGCCCTTCCAGAACCAGAGCCACTAAAAATCTGGGAAATCTTTGCAGACTATATGTGAGCAGAGACTTTTTTTTAGGGCCGATAAGTTTTCAGTGTATTACTGTGGACAAAGGGGATTTCCCCCCCAACTCCCGCCTGAGACAGAGCTACAGTGGTTTCAGCAGAATTTCAGCAAAAAGCCTCCAAAATTGGGGAGGCTTATCAGCAGAAACGTCAGGGCTTGGTAAGAGCCGCACTCCCCATACCCACGGCACGCACGGGGATGAGGGCTTCCCTCCCGCGGGGTGGGAGCTCAGTGCCTTCCCTGAAGCGCGGCAGTGGACCGCTTGCCCCACAGCATTTTGTTATCACTGCCCAAGCGGCTCCTGCATCCCTGTTCGTAGCATCGCCCCTTCCCAGCATCGCTGTCCCACCCAAGCCCCACGCTCTGCAGTCCAGCGGGCTTAACAGCAGGCTTGCCCAGCCTGGCAACCCCCACAGAAGGGTCATCCCTGGCTGATGAGCTCTAACATGAGACGCTTGGCATGAATTTTTCCGTATGCTCTCCCTCCCTTTTCTCAAAGTCCTGCAAAGAAAAGGCTGTTTTCAGGCATTTTGGTGCCTGTAATACAGCTCAGATGAAAAGCGGCTCGCTCTCTCCCCTCCCCGTCTTGCTTAGCGACGCTTCCCTGGACCTCCCCAGCTTTTCCCAATGCACTAAGTCTTTCCACTCGCTTGCAGGAGGAGGTAATGCTGGGGGGTACCAAACACCCGGCGTACCCACCAGATAGCTGGGTGCCGAAAGCGAAGGGCTGCAGGCGATGCTGTACACCATCACTCTCGCTGCTGTCAGCGCTGCATCCACAGGACTTTCCGCCTCTCCCGTCGCCGGGACAGACAGGGAAAGGAGGAGGGATGCCTGACGTCAAATCCACCCCAAATTTCGCATCTTCCCTTCCCACCCTGTTTGCAGCCCTTTCCCCGGGCGGCTGCAGGGCCAAGGGCAGCAGCTCTGCAGCCGGCGACGGTGGCACGTCCCTGGCCTGCCTCACTCGCCCCTCGGGATTAGCCTGCGTGGCCGGAGGCGGGTTTGCCGTGGCTCCCTACCTTTCACAGGCCGGCCGAGCTCTGGCTTTGCCTCCCAAACGCCTGCCTTGCCGCTTCTCCCACCGTGCTCTGCCGGCTGCCAGCCCCCTCCTCCCTTTTTGGAGGGCAAGGGAGGGGTGGGAGAGAGATGGCAACCGGGCTGGTGACAGCCCGAGTTTGCAAAGCCAAGGGGGCCCCCCAGCCCCCTCCCAGGCTTTGCCACAAACAGCGGTGCCCTGGGGCTGTGCCCCGCTGGGGCGAGGGGTCGAGCCCCCCGGGATGTGTTTCCCCGGGCTTTGTCCCTGCGGGAACGCTGAATGGTTCGGTTGTGGGCTGAGCCCCCCGCGCCGGGGAGGGCGTGAGGCTGCTCCCCCTTTTCCCAGCAACTCTGCGCCAAGCCGCCTGTTTTTTTCCTGTCCTTTTATTCCCCCCCTCTCCTTCCTCCCCCTTTTCTGACCCCTTTCCAGTGGCTGGGGGTGTTTGAAAGGTGGCCCGCAAGCGGCTGGCTCTGCCTGCAGCCCGCTTTCTGTCGCAGGGGAATAAAGCCAGCTGGAGGCACCCGCCACTCGGCTGCACAAGGTGCCTTGCACCTGCGGCAGAAAGAGCTTTTCTCCCACTGCTCGCACCCGAGTTTAACCGTTTTCCCAAGTTTGGGACAGTCTGTCAAAGTACCACGTCTCTTCTAGGACCTCAGTGGGTCAAACCAGCAGCAGCCGAGCTTTTTCCCGGCAGCAGCAGGAGCATGCTTTGGTTTAATTGCAAACTACTGTGTTCTTAATAAAAACCAAATACCTGGGCTGAACCATTTTGCCTGGCTTATGTGCCGGAGCCGCCTGCAGCAAATGCTTGGGTGAACTGGGAAAAGGGTGGCCAAGGGGGTGTTTGCAGGGTACGGTTTGCTGCTCCCATGCAGCGCTTATCACGTTGAAAACCTTCCCATTTCCTTGACTTAAAATGCATTTTCCCGGGCACAGCGGGGCAGGGAACAGCACAAAAAGCTGTGAAGATTTGTCTCCCATCCCTGGAGATGGGATGGTGTTTTGGCTGACGGAATAGCTTGACGCGCTGGCATGGTGTTTTGGCTGACGGAATAGCTTTTCCCAGGAGGGATCCAGTGCTCACGGCAGGCTGGTCTCGCTGTGCCAAGGCAGCCGGTCTGCCTGGGCATCGCTTGCCGGCTGGTGTGGGGCCCATCCGTCACGCCGGAGAGGAGACAGCCCAGCTCCTGCGCCCAGAAATGGCCTTGGGGAGCCAGGGGGATGGAAGAGCTGGTGTGGATGCAATGGCAGCGTTCAGAGGGAGAGCTCTCTGCTGTGAAAGGAAGGTGCTGGGTCCATGGTGAAAGATGGAGAAGGCACAGGCTTGTGCCCGGCCATAAGCAAGACGTGAGCCAGTCTGGGACAGGGGAAAACAGCTGGAGAATACGGGCTAAGGCATTCCCCGCGTCCTCGTCCTGGTGATTCACAAGCGGCCAGCGCCACGGTTTGGAGGCTTTGTGGGAAGCGGTTTTGGCGGAGGGGAGATGCAGCGGCTGGGGGGCCGCGCGGGGGGGAGG